GAGTAAATCAAAAGACACAAATCCATAAATAGGAGTTTGTTAAGAACTCAGGATTAAGATTATTCTATATATGACTATCGGTAGACTCAATTAGAATTTCTATGCTTAACAGAAATTATTAGAAATTCATATTGTGGCTATGTCCCTATTCCACACAATCTCATTATGCGAAATACACTAATTCAATATCTCACCATATTAACAGTGCGGATAGCACCGTTCCATTCTCAATGGGAATGACATGTATTAATAATATTTTAATTAAAGATTCTGAACTTTAATTAAATTCATTATGAACAACGTTTTTTATTATTGTCATTAAACATTATCCTCTCGTATATAACACTTATATACAATGTTTAAGGTTACATAAATAATTACGGAATTTTCATTTGATATTCATAAAATATTCATAAATATATGCACATAAAATGATGAATAAACTCTTTTATTAATTAAATAATAAATATCCTATTACATCTCATGCTTCTAGGACACTATTCCCAACAGATACTTGAATATATGCTTGACTGCTACCCAGTGGTTAGGTCCTGGATTCAACTGATATCGACTTACAATACCGACCGTATGGCAAATGTCTGGTCGAGTACAAAGCATTGCATACATGAGGCTCCCGACCGCCGAAGCATAAGGTACATTTGCCATGTATTCTCTTTCCTCAGATGTCTTGGGACAATAACTATTCGAAAGAGTAATTCCAGACCTAGATGGTTGCCCACTTTTCTTAGAATTCTGCATTACATACTTCTCGAGAATTTTATCTATGTATGAAGCCTGAGAGAGCTATCATTTTGTTCTTTTGATCTCTTAAGATCTGAATGCCTAGAACATAATTAGCTTCTCCTAAGTCCTTCATGTCAAACTGTTTGGTAAGCCAAACTTTGACTGATGACAAAGCCCCTACATCATTGTCAATGAGTGGAATGTCATCAACATATAATAGTAGAAAAAAGCACTTTCCCATCTTGAATATGCTTATAAACGCAAGGTTCATCCATATTCTGTTGGAATCCAAAAGTCTTGACCACTTGGTCAAATCTTTTGTTCCAAGAACAGGAAGCTTGCTTTAATCCATAAATGGATTTTAGCAACTTGTAAACTTTCTCCTTAGCCCCAAAGCCTTCTGGTTGTACCATATAGATACTTTCCTCAAGATGGTCGTGCAAGAACGCCGTCTTGACATCCATTTGCCAAATCTTGTAGTCGAGAGCAGCCGCAATGGATAAGAGAATGCGGATGGACTTAAGCATGGCTACAGGCGAAAAGGTTTCCTCGTAGTCGATTCCCTCTTTTTGCGTGTATCCCTTAGCTACCAGTCTAGCCTTATAGGTTTCGACCTTTCCTTCTACATTTCTCTTTCTCTTGTAGACCCATTTACACCCAATGGGCTTAATCTTATCAGGAAGATCTACAAGTTCCCATACTTGATTAAAATCCATCGATTCCATCTCAGTTTTCATGGCTTATGTCCAGAGGTTTGCATCAACATCCTTCATAGCTTCTTTGTAAGTATAAGGATCTCTGTCATGTTCTAAAGATTCTGCCAAAAAGGTCTCCCCATTGGCCATGAATCTCTCAAGTTCATGTCTGATCCTCGCACTACGCCGAAGCCCCTTAGATTGTTGTTGGGTTTCCTTTTCTACTCTGATTCGATCTGTTTCCAAAGGAACAGTCGGTATGACCAAGTCACTCGACATTTTCTCAAGCACCACTTTGCTACGAGGCTTAAAGTCATTTATGTAACTTTCCTCAAGGAATGTTGCATTCGTTGAAATCACGACTTTATTTTCCTTGGGGTTATAGAAATAACCCCCTTTCATCCCTCTCGGATAACCTATAAAAATGCACACTTCTGAACGTGCTTCCAACTTGTTCGCTTCCGTGTTCAGGACATGTGCAGGACATCCCCATATGCGAATATGGTTCAAGGATGTCTTCCTGCCCATCCACAACTCATGAGGCGTTTTAGGAATCGACTTTGTTGACACGTTGTTCAGAAGATAACATACAGTTTGTAATGCATATCCCCATAAAGTTATAGGCAATGTCGAATAACTCATCATGGACCGTACCATGTCCAACAAGGTCCTATTTCTTCTCTCAGCTACACCATTCTGCTGTGGAGTGCCAGGTGCAGTCAAATGGGATAGAATCACATTCTCTAATAAGTATCCAGTGAACTCATCAGAGAGGTATTCTCCACCTCGATCGGATCAAAGTGTCTTCATGGGTTTACCCAATTGCTTTTCCACTTCAGCCCGAAACTCCCTGAATTTCTCAAAAGTTTTACTTTTGTGGTGCATCAGGTACACATAACCATATCTTGAGTAATCATCGATAAAAGTGACGTAATACTCATACCCCCCTCTTGCCTTAATGTTCATGGGACCACAAACATCACTATGCACAAGTTCAAGAACCTCTTCAGCCCTATTGCCCTTAGACCCAAATGGTCTTTTGGTCATTTTGCCCTCCAAACAAAACTCACATTGGGCTAAGGACCCAACCTTTAAAGAACTTAAAGGTCCATCCTTTACCAACCTCTATATCCTGTTAAGGCTAATGTAACCAAGTCGCAAATGCCAAAGATATGTCTCATTAGAGTGAGAAGTTTTAAGCCTTTTAGAGTTATTAATAACTTCAGTGTTTAGAAGTGAGTCCATCTTAGGTTTGATCAAATATAGATTATTTTGCATCCATCCATCACAGATAAAAGACTTATTTTCACGAATCAAAACTTTATTATTAAAAGAAACTGAATAAGAATCCTTAAATAAACAAGCAACAAAAATAAGATTCCTCTTAAATTGAGAAACATAAAAACTGTCTCGCAAAAATAAACTCCTATAACTATCAAAATAAAGATGGACATCTCACACTGCTTCAGCCAACACTAGTGTTCCATCGCCCATCCTCAACGTGAAGCTCTCATTTAGAAGACTTCTCGCTTGCTTGAACCCCTGCAGAGAAACACACACATGATTAGTTACTTCAGAATCTATGACCTAGTTGTCACTGGATTCCTCAACCAGACATGCTTCCACATTTAAAAGATCAAACTCACATCCTTTGCCTTTAGAGTCTAGGTAGTCTTTGCAATTCTTCTTCATGTGACCCACCTTCCCACAATGAAAGCACTTGAGCTTGTTTGGGTTCCTCTTCTTCTTGTTCTCACCCTTGTTTGGCGAAACTAAAGAACTCTCCTTCTTAGCTTCTTGCTTCTTATTTGCATTCCCTGGATAGGGTTTGGAGAAAGATGCCTCAGCCAAGTTGGCCTCCATAACAGTTGACATCCGCTTGAACTTTTGGAGTTCTTGCATCAACTCTGTCAGGGTTATATTCTGTCTAGCACTCAAATTAAACGTTGCCCTAAACGGAATATACTCCTTCGACAGAGTGTCAAAGATCATGGTCAATTGAGACTCAGCATCGATGTCGGCCCCATTGGTCTGAACTTCACCCAAATAGCCCATCACCTTCAGCATATGTTCCTTTATGGAAGACCCATCCTTCTGTCTGTAATTAATGAGGTTACTTAGGGCTTCCCGACGTTTTTCAGCGACTTGGCCGCCAAACATGTCCTTAAGATTATCCATAATCTGACGAGCACTTATGTAATTTTCATGTTGTGCTTGTAGGACAGTGGACATGCTCGCCATCATATAACAGTGAGCCATATCGTCAGAGTCCTTCCAGCGTTGATACGCTACGAAAACCTTATTAAGAGCATCAACAGGTGGCTCCGGAGGACAAGGTGTATTTAGTATGAAATTCAGTTTCTCAAAGGTTAGGACGATCTTTAGGTTCCTTTTCCAATCGGTAAAATTCTCGCCAGTTAAAGTGTGTTTATTAAGTATCGATGATAATGCGCTAGAAGACATTTTGATCTACAATAAACATTCATATATCTAGTATAAGCAAACTTGCATAAACATTTAGTAATCAAACACATATTCATATTATAATGCAATAAATATGTTTGTGCGTCAAAACCTTAAAAAAATCACAACCTCACAACGATAATTCCTAACTCAAAATTTTGCAAGTCTCCTAGGGGAGATCATGCAAAATTTAATTGGAAACACGGATCCCCTCCAATGAATATATACCATCCGGATCAATCTCTGCCCAGCATATATTGATAATCATTTTTTTGGCCATTAATTTAATTAGCAAAGCTCCTAGAGGAGATTAATAATTAAATTAATCTTGAGTGTATAACCATCGTTTCAACTATTTGATACATATTTTATAATTGTCACCTAGGGGTGTACAACCATAAAATATGCTCAAATAAATTATCCTCTCAGAGATCCACACCGGTACATAATGAATCCCTTCCTAGGGGTTGGTATCACCATGTATTACCTGTGGACCAACGATGGAGGCCATGGGTCTTTTCTTCAAAAACCCTCACCCACACAATCTTTTTGAAAAATAAGGTTTTATGTTAAAAATATGCATGAACAATTGTAATGAGCGGCACTCCCTATTCTATATGACATGTTATCACATATATAGCAAATCATATTATATGCAATCATACAAAGCAATTAAGCTAGGCAACAAGCACAATAATAATAACCGTAATATTATGGTTCCAACCTAGAGAAAAGAAAAAATAAAGATTACTAAGAATAATCGAAACATATATCGATCCTTCATCTTGAATCTTCCTGGTTGTCCTTGAATTCTTCATCACGATCAAATTCTGGTTATCATAAAATTATTTTTCATGTTTTCTTGAAAAAATCTCAAAAAACTGCAAAATCGTATACTGTCACGTTAGGCTCGGTTGACCGGTGACAGAGCAGTTATAGTCAACCGGTCGACCGGAGCGGTTGACTGGTGTCTATGTGACAGTAACCTAAATTTTCAGAAATCAAAGCAGTTTTTCAATTTATTCAAAAAAAAAACACAAAACAATTTTATAAACCAAGAAAAATTAGATACCTTTATATCCTTCATCTTCAAGATCCATGATAAATCTCCTTCAAGAATTTTTACATGAAAAATTCCTATACCGTTTTCCGGTTTACAAAATTTCTACTAAAGAAAATAAAATAAACCCTAACGGCGATGATAGGCCGTATATCTAATTACATTGTAATGAACAAATTCCTATAGAACCATTCTAAACTCTAAGGAACCATAAGCGGTAAAAATTAAATAATAAATAATCATTGATAATTTATAAATAATAATCAATAATAATTATTTAATCATCCATTCACCATATATTCATGATAACAACATAATATAGAAACCCTAGAGTGCCATCTCTCTAAAATATCAATTCAAGCATAAATGAGATATTTTTAGATCACAAATCTATGTACATAGCATCATCATGAATAAATAACCACGGCTCTGATACCAATTGTTGGAAAAAAATGGCATCGACTGCGCAGCAAAATTTTAAAAAATTTAATCAACGTCAAAGCCAACCAAGAACATGTTCATGATGCTATATAACATAAATACTAAAGATCTAAATCATACCTTTTGAGATTTAAGGAAACTGCACGTCTGACTGATCAAAGCGTTCCAAACTACGACCGGAATAGCCTCAACCAACTGGTCTTCTTTGCTATTCTCATTTCCACGATCGGAGTGCGGGTGGGCACATGTCGTTCAATCTCCCTTTGGTATTCTTGAACTCCTTCCAACCACAAGAGAGCCAAAAGAAAAATTATTCTTGAGAATTAAATAATTTTTCCTCTCAGGAATCTTTTGTCAATAACCTCCAAAAAGTCTCTCAAGTGATCTGATGAATAACTGGGCTATTTATAGTGTTTAGGAAGTCATACTTCCGTAACAATTAGGTTTCCCAAAGTTTTATCCCATCTAGAGTCGGTTTCACCACGTCAGCACGCGCTACGCGTTACAACCGGTCGACCGGTAACAGAGACGTTATAACTCAGCGGTCGACCTGTTCTTCACAGATTGTGTCGTTGGGTTCTTTCGGTCCTATAGAGTGGAGTGTTGTCGGGCTCTAAGGCTCATTTAAACATAGTTTCTAGTCTTTACTAGTTATACACTTGCGTAGTTTTGCTTATGTCGATGTGTTATGTCGGTCTTTCGCCATTCTAATAACGTCTTGTTTCAAAAAAGAAATGAAAAGAAAAAAGAGGTTTGTAATGTAAAAATTGACATATCAAAATTAGAAAAAATACGAGAGCCTAAATAGATGTCATAATAATAAATATCATGTTAAACATACTAAAAGAAAGGGTTGAGAATGCCAATTTTTTTTACGTCGTTGATATGTGGATATGAACGATTTGAATGACAAGGACGTTCATCGAAGTATTTGTAGTATTTTATTAAACATAATAGAAGGAAAGATTTGAGTATTCTAGGGATTATTTAGAGAATATATTTGAACTCATAATTTAGGTTTAATAACAGTATTTTTTATCTTATAAAAAATTTGAATTAAAAAATGTTTTTTTTTATAAAAATTTTTGCTACTGAATTAAAATTACTGACTTGAATATATGTTATAAACGGGCTGCTAATGTTTTACATAAGAACTTGGGTGATAAATGTTTTCGTTCTTATTTGTTACCATTTTTATTCTTCTTCTAAGTTGTAACTTTCAGCATCAAAACTAATTCTTTTTTTGTTTTTTTTTTCTTTTAATGGCATGGAAAGCAAAGGGAGGCTGTGGGGCCTGGGATATCTGAATTCTGATCAAAACTCTCCCCATTTTCTTCTGTTGGATAAAAAAAAAATCACATAATTTATCAAATTGTTATTTTACGGGTTACAGAAAGCAAATTTATTTTGTCATGAGAGTAACAAGTGAACCATATGAGCCACAAATTTCCCCTGGCAAATAAGAGCCACAACTCTATTTTCTCCCCTATTATTTTACCCTCATAAAAAATAATAATAATTTACAAAAAAAAAAATTTAACTTTATGGGGGAGTAATAAAATAAAGATTCATGAAGAAAGCGACATTTTTGTTTTCTCTCAATTGGAGAGATATTTTCTGTTATAAAAGGAGCACCAGATACTCAAAATCAAAACTCAAAAGAAAAAAAAAATAAAGAAAAGAAAGAAACAGAGCTAATTTTGGCGGTTGTGAGAAACTTTTTCCCCGCGTTGAAACCTGAAACCCAAACCCTCCATTGAATTGAAAATCCAGTTCCAGTCAAAATTTTCTCCTTCCAGTATTGTCAAACCCTCCTAGAGAGAGAGAGAGAGAGAGAGAGAGAGGATGGAAGAAGAAGGCATAGGATTGGTGCTCGCGAGGGCTACGGAGCTTCGGCTGAAGATCGGAAACTGCATTCACAAAGCGACAAATTATCCGCGCAAAGCCCTAGATGCAGATGAATTATTGCCCCAAAACGAAAATGGCGTCGGCGACGGCGACGACGACGACGAGGAAGAAGAAGATGATGATGAGGCACAGAGGCTTTTGAATATCTGCGATGCGCTTGAGTCCCTCGAGTCGCAGCTCTCTTCTTTGCAGGTTTGCTTCTTCAAGTTTCCATTTTTATTTCGAATTAGGGTTCTCTTGGAAATTTAAAAAAAAAAAAAAAGCCCCAATTTTCTTGTGGATTAGCTTTGAACCTGTAGTGTTTTGTTAGTGTGAAATGGGATTGAAAAACCCCTTTGTTCTGTTCAGTTTAATTTTGACTAATTAGAAACACGCTCATATTTGGAGGGTATCCTTGTGGATGATTTTTTTAGACATTTGAGACCAATTTGATAGAGAAGAATATACTAGGGGTTCGTTTTTTTTTTTTTTTTTTTGAAGGTATATACTAGAGGTTCATATTCATACGAAAAGTCACAATTTTGAATTGCTTTATTTTGTTTTATTTCTTTGGTTTATTTATTTGGGTATTGATTTTATTTATTTGTACCAAAGATTTCGTAGTTGCTGATCAGTATTATAGCTGGGACTGGGAGAACTGGTTGGCAATTCAAAGTGAAATTTTGTTCAACTGAAACATCTAGGTTCTGTTCGGAAATTTGGCTAACTTTTGCTTTTTCTGTTTTGGTTTTCCTGGAATTATCTTATTCTCAGTGAGCATGTTAACAGGTTTTTTGAAAGGCAACTGCTATCAAAGTGCCAAATCTAGCAATTTGGATTTAGTTTATTTTATGGTTTTATTTCCAGATCTTGCAAAAGCAAAACGCCTCAATACCCAATAGTGAAATTTAAAACCTTGATATGTTCATCATGTTTCCCAATGTCAAATATATCTTCTTGGTCATAAAATCATATGGAATGAGTAATGATTTCATTGTACCCTAAACGATGATGGTTTGTTTGTTTTTTTGTTTTGTTTTTGTTTTTGTTTTTGTTTTTTTTGTTTTTGTTTTTGTTTTTGTTTTTCAGTGAGCATGTTAACAGGTTTTTTGAAAGGCAACTGCTATCAAAGTGCCAAATCTAGCAATTTGGATTTAGTTTATTTTATGGTTTTATTTCCAGATCTTGCAAAAGCAAAACGCCTCAATACCCAATAGTGAAATTTAAAACCTTGATATGTTCATCATGTTTCCCAATGTCAAATATATCTTCTTGGTCATAAAATCATATGGAATGAGTAATGATTTCATTGTACCCTAAACGATGATGGTTTGTTTGTTTGTTTTTTTGTTTTGTTTTTGTTTTTGTTTTTGTTTTTTTTGTTTTTGTTTTTGTTTTTCCTTATGTCAATTATGAAGAACAAGTTAACATGCTAATTCAAAGATTTTAGAGACAGAGGAAATTTTAGAATCGATAAAGTTCAAATTGATGGAGCACAAGCCCTTTTATTAAATCCTCAATTGCACTGCACTCTTTATGTTTAGAATTCGAGTAGCGATTGTCATGATCAATATATCACCTTCCAGCACGGACATTTGGGAAATGGGGTGTTTCTGGATGCTGCCTGAAGCTGGGACTAGACATTCATTTATATAACTGAGTTATGTTGTTGTAGGGTAGTTGCATTCACGGTTAACCACGTATTATTGTTTATATGTTTCTTCGCTTGCTTAACCACGTGGCTTTTAGAATAGACCGTTTGATCTTTCTTCAGTCCTGATAATGAAGTCAAAATACACTGTTTTGATATAACTGTTGCTAAAGCTCATAGGGCAGCACCCCTGCTTTCTGGATCAGATAGTGATCCGGAGGTAGACAAGATCATTGACCCCTTCTCGAGGTATCTGACTACCACAGACACATAAAAGCTATCCTTACTGGTTACCACCACTAATGAAATAGGAGGAGTCTATGAAGAGGATACATTATTTAAATGTCAGTGTTCTTTCAAATGTAAGCATAATAGGTACCGATCCAAATATGGAAATGTTTAGATCAGAGCTGTGGATCCTTTTGTTGTCCTTTACTTTCTTCAACCTAATAAGATGGGATGACCCTGTACTTCCTTGAGTATGATATTCATGTGGTCGTGGCAGCCTAGGAAGTGGATTTTTATTCATCAAGTAGTTTAATGACTCAATAAATTGTGTATCAGTTTTTTCCACCCATGATCCATCTGCCGCTTAGAATCTTCATATATGTGCTCACATTTTATCTGAAACTTCATTTAGTCAAATATATATATATATTCATTGTATGATAATTGTCGATTGATATCTCTTAGTCTTTCCCGGAGATAGCATCCTAGTCCCTAAATTTCAAAGTTGAAGCAGAAACGATCTCATCTTTAAACACTCCAAGACTGAATAAGGGTATTTAATCTTTAATGCATATTAACGATATCTACCACATCCACTTTGAATTTGATAGACACTGATATTAAAGCTCTATTGTTTCCATTATCACCAGGCTTTGCAGCAACAACAACGGTATGAAAGAGAAGCTGCTCTTGCTGAGATTGAACAAAGCCGCAAGACGTTGCTTGATAAGTTGAAGGACTACAAAGGAGAGCAATTGGAAGTCATAAATGAGGCATCTGCTTTTGCTGGCGAGACAGTGGAGCGGAACAATGATCTCCTGCTTCCACCATACCCAACCCGCCCTCCGCAATCCTTGCGTAGAGATAACGGCTATTTGCCATCTTTGCACAAGATTGTTCGAAATGGTGTAACCTCCGGTGATGCCACAAACGGAGAAAAGAAGGATCCACATGAGTTGGAGCGAAATAAGAATTCGAGAGGAATGGGGTCCTTTTTGGGTGTGGCAGCAAAGACAGTGCTCACCCTTGTTGGTGTGGTATCAGTGTTGAGTCTGTCTGGCTTCGGGCCTAAATTTTCGGGTAGAGAAACCCCTTTGAAGCTTTTGAGCTTCTTTAATCAACAAGCATCTGAAGAAAAGAGATCAAGCATTAACTGCCCACCTGGGAAAATCTTGGTGGTGGAAAATGGCGAGGCTCGATGTCTTGTGAAAGAGAGAGTTGAAGTTCCGTTTTCCTCGGCAGCTGCAAAACCAGATGTAAACTATGGATGTGGTTAATTTATTAGTGTTCGTTTTGCCCTTCTTCTGTATATCTTGTTTCTTTGTGTTGAGGTGTAACGAGAAAATTTCATCAAGGGTCTAATTTTATTTCAAAAAAAGTAATCTCTCTCTCTCTCTCATGATTTTGTTTCTTAGTGCTTGTTTGGTAAAAGGGTTCAAATCTCTAGTCTAATAATTTTGCTACAATGTTTTTTCCTACAGAAATTTAAATTTTGATTATCAACTAAATGAGCACTTTAATTTTATAAGCGTTCGATTCAATGTAAAGATGGACTAATTTACGAATTTATTTATGTTTTTCGTGTCTTGGGAACTAGGGGTTAGGATCAATCTTTTGTTAATTATTTTAAGGGTAGTAATGACATTAAACTGAATATTATTTTGTTTAGGATTTTAAATTTGGCATTATTATTAATTTAGGAATTAGATTTCCTTTCAAATTAGGAATTAGATCTTACTTTCTACTTCGATTTGTTTTAGGACTTTGGCTGTGGACTTGTGGTGCCTATAAAAGGAAGCTTAGGACGTATTTTTACTTACCGGATTGAAGAACTTCATAACTTGTTTAAGAAGAAAAAAAGAAAAGAAAAGAACAAGTAGAAAAGTGAAGAACAGGAACTTAGTATCCAGAAATCAGAAGCATCATGAAGTGTAAGTATTGCTAATCTATACGTATTCTTTTGGATCAGCACTTTTTAATTTTTGTTAAGGTTTTTCAGAAACATGAAATCTAATTAAACATGGATCACTGATGACGTTTATATTACTTAATGACAAACCAAAAGGATGATTTTTTTTTTTAATTCTTACTTTCTATATAAATGTATGAAACAATAAATGTAGTTATTTTTTAAAGGACAAACGTGATACTGGCTTATACGTACAAAAAAAATGAAATAAAATAAAAGTTAGAGTTTACCTTTGATTAAAATAAGCTATCTTAAATAAAGAGGGTGATGTTTACTAATTGTAATGTTATTTTATGGAATTATTACTAATTTTTTATAATTGATGTTTAACTTTTTATTCCCTTGATACTAATTAAACAGTAAGCATAGAAGAAGCCAGCACAATTCCTCTGGATTCTTATAAGGGAATGAAGCATTATTTAGAGGAATTACTTGAGAGAAAGTAAATATATTTTTCTTCTTGTTAATATTCATATTTATAATCAATCTATTCCTTTCCCTTTTCTCTTTTTTTTTTCTTTTTTTATTTTGGAAATTTGGCATGATCTATCTAATTTTCTGTTATTTATTTATTTTATTGAAGGAGTGTCAAGAGGGAGGATGCACTAAAATCAATCATCAAGGGCTTAACCTTTTACTCTAACTCGGAGTGTGAATGCTTACAAACCCAGTATAGTCTTTTTCTTTTTCTTTTTTTCTCTTTTCTTTGAAATATAGTTACAATTTCTATTTCATCCATTTCAATTTCGTTAAATATTTATCATACCAGTTCAAAGTTTCTTTCTTTATAACTTTTTTTTTTTTTTTTTCTAGTTTTGCTACCACCCTTTATCGGTGTTTAAATTTATTCAAGAACAAGAAAAATTCTGCCAAAGAGTCGCGTTTAGCATCTCAAGCTATAGGCAAGTATATTGACATTCTATCCTTAATTAAAAAAAAAAAAAAACACACACACACACACAAATACAAACACAATTGATGTTGTCTTTTCTATTATTAATTCTATGGTTTCTTATTATTTGAATTTGTCAGGCTTGTTGGCTATAATTATTGACAATGAAGATAATGAGTATGAGATATACAGGGAGTTACTTCCTGTACTCTCTAAAGCCCTCAAGTCTGGACCTAAACCCTTAAAGGTAACGGTAGATTTTACACATATATAGCTAGTTCTGGAAAAATACTTGGGACACACAAGTATTGAGCACCACATTTAATAAAAAGTGAGCCCGGGCCACACCGTGGAATTTATTCTCTCTCAGTGTTGGTGTTCAACACCGTTAGTGTCTTTTAGCATTATTCCTGATTGTGCGGGGATAAATGATACTTTAGGCCATGTTTGTTTCATATACTCAAACTAAAATATTTGATTCTAATACAATATTTTTCTTTTACAAAAAATTTGAATTTCAAATCATAATTTGAATATACCATCCAAACAGTTTATTTGATCTTGTACTAATTTATTTTCATGGAGGAGTTGGAGTGTTTGGCTATAACAAGCTTGTTTGGTTCAACTAGGTCAGAGGAAACTGAAAATGCCATGCAAATACTATGGAATTTTATTCAATCCGATACTAACGTATGTTATAAATTCTTTTAATATTTTCTAATCCTGTGTAAATTTTAATTATGCTACACAATTTTATTAACATTATTATTTTAATCCTCACAGCATTCATCAGATGTCCTCCATGTTGCTATATCTGCCTGGCTGTTTCTTGTTGCAAGCTTGGATGGATGGAGATTCAGCTACAATCGTTGGCAAGGGTAAATAAACCCGCCTAGAGAAATTTCTTCATTTTCAATAAATTTATGTATTCTTGTTAATGTCTTACATTTTTCACCATTCTAAGTTTTATTTGCTTTTTAAACCGCCCCGATTCTAGTTACTATGATGGTGTTTTATCCCGTAACTTTTGACGACGGTTAAAAATTGTTGTGAAAACCTTAATTCGTTTTTTAGTTCCAAGAAAAGCTAACATAAATTTATTGCAACAAATCATGCAGGGCGATTTCTTCTTTCTTGAATCTATTACAGAATGGTGACCCATCATTGTCTTTAATAGCCGGCGGCCGAGGCTCCTGGAGAGTTTTTCTACGGCGGACTTGGGTCCTACCCCCCTAAATTGACCATTCTGAGTCTATTGGTGCGGTCAATTTCACAACAATCGGCCTGTAACAGTACATATCGGGACCGGCAACGTCGGTAAAATTCGGCGAATCAAATCTCACATTTTCGATCATGAAATCTTAAAATTGGTTGAGGGGTTTTCTTACCCATGATGTTATGAGTGTTTTGACACCAAACTCACGACAATCCAACGGTTAGATCGTCAGAACCACCTCTTACCTCCACGGACGACGGCGGTGGCTTCATTTTCCGGCCAACGACAACGGCGGCGGTGGCTGCTGGTCGGGATCTACTGGGCATCGGCTTCTGAGTTAATTGGTGGGGGCGGTGACATCCACGGCGGCCGGGAGAGAGAAAAATAACGGCGGCGGCGCGGTGATTCTGGCCACCATGGACGGCGGTGATCCAGCTATCATTGAGCTGTGAAAATGGATGGGTTTTCTGGGTGTCTCTACACTGAGTCCATAGGGACTGAAATCACCTCAATCGGAGGTCGGACAGAGGAAATGTCGCGATCAAAAGTTTCAGTTGTTTTCAAAACTTTGGCCGGCGATTACGGCTGATTTCGGCGGAGTTGGAGGTCGTGCCGCATGTCGTTGAACTCAGCTCGTCGAGATCTATCTATTGACACTGGCTGTGTCAAAAATGGAAGTCCGGATCTCAAATTGAGTATTTGGCCATAGACGGTTTTGTGAGAGAACGTGAGAGGAGAGAGAGTGAACGAGAGCAAGAGAGAGAGAGTAAGAGAACCCTAATAATTTCACTATTTAAAGTGTCTGAAAGGCAAGATTACATGCTTGATCTTATCCTCAAATATTTCCTCCAAACAGATTAAATTTATACTGATTAGAGGTAATTAGTTTAGCTCATGTAAGTTAATCTACTACTTACAGTCCAATATTAATTTCTGAATAATTAAATATCATTTTATATTCTTATTCATGAAATATTTCGAACTAGTTCAAGTCTTAAAATTTATTCCAGACTAAACAAATTCTAACTTAAATTTCTGCATTATATCCCGAGAATGACATTGTTTCTGATGATGTCAACTCCCGAGCTCACTTTGTACCCTTCTACTATAGGTATTTATCTTGTGACTTTAACCTAGCTGTCTCGCAATTAAGGATTTTCTCTTCTTTTAAAATGTCAGAGCATTTTTTTTATACGCTGCTAACATCGTGCTGTGCTTAGAGATTCTTGAAATTAAGATTCTCAAACTACATATGTACTGAAAATTCTTCCGCCTTATAGTACGGTGAGAATTTATCGATCGAATTTACTTGATCATAAAACATGAACTTAGCATGAAATCTGCTATAGAATTTAATAATACAAATGTTAATTCCATAAATCATTCAGTCACAAAATATAACATCATATTTTCTAAGAAAATCCTTGGCTTAAATACATAAATTGTATTATTTAAAGTCTGGAATTTTCTCAGTCATTACAAGAAAAACTTCTAAAACTATCTTTGGGATTATGTTACAGATATATAAATGTGATAGAGTCACACATGGTAGTTAAAGAATATCCCCAAATATTAATTCTATGGCATGACTGTTTGTGCCATCCTGGTTCAATAATGATGTGAAAAATCATGGAAAGTTCACATGGACATTCATTAAGAGGCCGGCAGATCTTTCAAATGAATAAAGTTCTATGTGGAACTTATTCTCTTAGTAAACTGATTACAAGGCCTTCGCTAGTTAAAATTAAAACAGAATCACCAACATTTCTTGAACATATTCAAGGTGATATATGTGGGCCTATACCCATCGTGCAGACCATTCCAATACTTTATGGTATTAATGGATGCATCCAATCGATGATCACATGTTTGCTCATTATCAACTCAAAATGTGGCATTTGCGAGATTTCTTACTCAGATAATTAAATTACGAGCACAATTTCCTGATTATACAATCAAGAAAGTTAGACTTGATAATGTTGGTGAATTCACATCTCAAGCATTTAATGATTATTGTATGTTGGAATTATTGTCGAACATCTTGTTGATCACGTGCATACACAAAATGATTTAGCTGAATCATTTATTAAACGCCTCCATTTTATTGCTAGACCATTAATAATTAGAACAAAGCTACCTATTTTTGTATGAGGTCATGCAATTTTACATGTTGCGGCATTAATTCGCATAAGACCAAGTGCTTATAATAAGTACTCCCCTTTACAACTGGCATTAGGTCAAGAACCAAATATCTCTCATCTAAGAATTTTTGGTTGTGCGGTGTATGTACCAATTGCTCCA